TGTTCGAGCACCAATCACGAAATTGCAGATTTCCAAGCGATGAAAGAGTCGAGTACCCCCCGAGGAGCAAGTGAGTTTCATAGCCAATCCTAGAGGGAACAACCCTTATAGCAACACATACAGCCCCAGGTGGCGCAATCATCCAAACTTTTCTTGGTCTTCCCCTACCAATCCAAGACCTCCCGGCTTCCAAGGTCCAACGACAACTACCAACCTTGGCCAACATTCATCCAACAAAGGCCTCAGTTCCAAAACTCAAACTTCCAACAACCATACCAAGCACAAGGTGGTCAAGTTTTTCAACAACCACAACAAGGTGAGAAGCTCTATAAACTAGAAGACCTTGTTAACACCGTTGTGAGTACAAGCTCTCAGAAGTTCGCTAAGATTGAGCAATTTATGGATGTGGCAAAATCCAAGTTTACCTCGGTTGAGGCGGGACTCCGAAGCCATCAAGCGAGTCTCCAAAACTTGGAAGTGCAAATTAGCAATCTTGCCGGGATCCTCACCGAGAGACCAAAGGGAGCCCTACCCTCTCAAACCATTGCCAACCCCAAAGATCAAGCCGGGTGCAATGCGATTTACTTGAGAAGCAGGAAGGTGACCCCGGAAGTCGTTGCCCAAGAAGTAAATGAGAAGGAAGACCCTCTACCTGAGGGTGAAGAAGAGGAAACCTCGAGGGGAAGGAAAGAAGTGGCAAGGAAGGCATTGCCAATGCCACCACCTGTGGCTAAGTGCACACCACCCCTACCCTTTTCCCACGAGGGTGCACAAGGAAAGATTGGAAGCAGAATGTGGAGGCTTCATGCGGATGCTCGGAGAGCTCCACCTCAACATTCCCTTCCTCGAAGCAATAGCCCACAAGCCAAGATATTCAAAGTACCGAAAGGGGATTCTAGCCAAGAAGCCAAAGGTTGAAGACCTCGCCCAACGTGAGGGCTTCTAGCCAAGAAGCCAAAGGTTGAAGACCTCGCCAAGTGGTCAGTGTAGACCACCACATGAGAGAGCACCAGATAGGGTCGGAACTTGTCAAACGCATACACCACAGCGAGGAGCTCCTTCTCTGTGGTGGTGTAGTTCTCCTGTGCATCGTTCAAGGTCTTCGACGCGTAGTAGATGGGCTGGAAGTGTTTCTCGCGTCTCCTTCATGAACTTGGCATACTTGGGCATCTTCGATAATGCCTCCACGAAGGGCATGCTAATATTCACCTGCTTCAGCATTGCCATGAATTTGGCAAACTCAGTCTCCAGTCGGTCCTTGTGCAACCGAGTAGGAAAGGGAAGCTGTGGTACATACTCCTTCACCACTGGTTGCGGTTTAGGAGCAGGCACCTCAACCTCCTTCTCCATTTCTTCCTGATTAGCTGGAAGTGCTGAAGCAGGGGTCTCTCTCTCTCCTGCCCGAACAGGTGGATCGGCAGTCACCTTGCCACTCCTGGTTGTGATGGCACTCACATTTTCATCCTGGTCCTGCGGGTGAGGGATGGTCTGACCAGGCAAGGTACCTGGAGTCCTCCGAGCAATAGCCTGGGCAACACCACCAAGCTGGGTCTGTATATCTCGCAGCACAGCCTGTGTGTTTCTCTGACCAGCTTCTAACTCCAAGAACTTGCCTGAAGCTTTCTCCATGAACTGCTCAATGTTATTGAATTTATTTGCACTGGAGGTGGCCAGAGAACCCACCAGATCTCTCAGTTCCGCCATCGGGTCACTCTGTACTGGGGCTGCAGGTGCTGCCCCTGTCTGCTGAAATGGTCGTGCCTGCGACTGAGGTGGAACTGGCCCCTGTCTGGGCGGGTAGAGTGGCTGCTGTGGCTGCTGAAACTGCCCCTGTCTGGGCTGGTATGGAGGCCTCTGAAAACCGGGTGGTCCCTGGGGAGCTGGTGGTCTGGGGTTTGGCCCAGCCCAAGAAAAGTTAGGATGCTGGCGCCACCCCTCGTTATAGGTGTTTCTGTAGGGGTCGAAGCGCCTGGCATTCCCGATGAAGTCCACCTGCTCCTAGGGAGTAGACGACTCCCGCATCGCCTGACAGTCCTCTACGGTGTGATGAGAGCTCTCACACCACTGGCAGTGCATCGCCTGCGGCTGTCCTGTACCTGCAATCAAACCAGAACGATCGATAGCTGAAACCAGCTTCGATACCACCTGCACCAAATCAGATGACTGGGTGCCCACAGCATGCACACCCCGTCCTGGTGCTCGTCTCGATCGCCTGGCAGTGCCCCAGTCGTACCCGTTCTCCGCCATCTCCTCAAAGAGTTGATTCAGCTGTGGCGGGGTTTTAGTCAGCATGTTCCCGCCACAAACCGAATCAATCAGCTGCTTGTCCTCCGGGAAGAGGGCGTGATAGAAGGTGCCCACCTTGAATGCATCATTAAAACCATGATTGGGACACCTGAGAAAGAGACTGGTGTATCTCTCCCAAGCATCCCTAATGGTCTCACCCTCATCCTGAGCAAAATGTGTAATTTGCTTCTGCAGGTCAGCTGTCTTGGATGGAGGATGGTAGCGGGTGAGGAACTTGTCCGCCAGGTTGGCGAACGTGGTGATGGAGCCCGGAGGTCGAGTGTCTAGCCACTCCTTGGCTTGCCCCTCCAGAGTGAATGGGAAGTACCTCAGCTGGATGGCATCTGCTGGTACCCCATTGATCTTGATTCCATCGATGAGCTCGTGGAATCGCCTGAGATGTGATCGAGGGCACTCTCCCTCCTTACCACGGAACACCACTGAACCGCGCAGCATGGTGATCACTGAGGTGCTCACCTCAAAGTTGTTGGCTGGGACATGAGGGTGTTGAATGGGTGACCTCATGTCTGCAGCCCTAGCGGTCCAGTAGGATCCCATGGTCTGCTCATCTGGGTTGATCACATCGTGGTTCTGCGGATCACCCATCTCTCCTTCTTCTTCTTCTCCGATCTGCAGCTGTGATAGCGCCTTCTCCGCAGCCAGTCGCGCCTTTAGAACCCGCTTGGAGTTCCTGCAGGTTCGTTCAAGCTCCTGGTCTAATGGTAGTAGATCTCCCGACTAGCTACGGGTCATGCACTACCTGCACACAATCAGCAGAAACAACATGTGAAGGCACACAGGTGGAAGAGAAAAATGCAATAAAGAAAAAGCTAGAGTAACAAATTCTCACGTTTCCCCAATAATCTAGAGGGTCCCCGGCAACGGCGCCAGAAACTTGACACGCCAAAACACAACACCAAACTGCGACCAAGTGTAATCGCAGTCCGGGAATGCAGTAACAGGCAAGTTCAATTATCAACCCGGGTTCTAGATCTACTGCTTACTCCGTGATTCTCTATTATCTAGCAAACTAGTTCGAGTGATTGTTGTTAAAAGCAAAAGCAACAAGAAAGCAAGGAAATTGTTCGGTTTTCAAAGTCAGGAAAGAGTCACTCGGGATTGAGTTCCCCTAGCCCCTTAGTTAGGTTCAATTGTAATTCCCTGGGTTGATTTACTGTTGATTAGACCGCGAAAGATCCGACAGTAGCTTGGAATCTCTTAAGCTGACCAAGCCCTCTCAGTCTAACTACCCGGCAGACGACTAGTCTTCACCGGGATAGAAAGCTGAGGCTATGAACACAGAACTCCACTACTGGAATTGAATTCCAGTACAAAGCAGTAAACTGGCTAACTCTCGTATAGCCAATCTCCTACTATCGAATGAAGAAGCTCTAACAACCTAATCAGATTCTATCTATCTCAGGTTGCAGCAGAAATTGAGAAAAGCTGATCAGACTCCAATCAATTCAATAAACATGCATCATTCGATTAAAATCAAACAGTAACATCATCCCAAGTCATTACAATCAAATCCCTAACACAAGGAACTAGGGTTCTTCATACCCAAGTGAGAGAAGGGTTCTACTCCATAGAGAGAGAAGAGAAAACAGTAATCGGATTAGTCATACTCATAACGATGAGGAAAATCTGCTCCGGGACGATGATTTCCACTCCTATGACGATCTCCAAGCTCGATTCGATGAAATCCAGCTCTAAGATAGCTTCTAGGATGTGTTCTTCGTACTTTCTCTCTCTAGGGCTCTGTTTTTGCTCTGAAAACTCGATTCTCTCACTTTTGGCTCGGAATAGGCTCAAAAACCAGGATTTCCCGACTCGCACGGCCAGGCCACACGGCCGTGAAGATCACCACTTTGGCCGTGCGGCTCAAAACGCGGCGCATCAATTAATCGATCTTCAGCCATCTCACACGGCCAGGGTGGCACGGCCGTGTGAGAATTCCGGCCTGCCCGTGCTCGGCCTCGGCAGAAATCACACGGCCAGGGTGCTCAATGGCACGGCCGTGTGAAGTTCATGGGTTGCCCGTGCGTGCTCTCGCATAATCCCACACGGCCTGGCTTGGCCTTCGCACGGCCGTGTGATTCCCTGGCCTGGCCGTGCAACTTCCTTGAAACCTCGCCATTCGTCCGGTCTTCGTCCAATCGACCCCAGACTCGCTCCCAAGCCTTCATTCACGTACTAGGACCTGAAATATCACAAACAAGCACAACCTAGCGTGAAATCGGCCTAAAACACGAGAATCAACACCTCAAACGGTGTAAGAACGAGGGTAAAACATGTGTAAATAACGGTCTATCAACAAGGTTGAAGCAAGAGATTTTGGCTCCTACATTCACAACTCAAATCATTGATTGGCTCATGTTAGGTTACAAAAATTAGACATGTTATAGAAGTTGAGGAATTTGGAAGAGAAAAGATGAATAACACGAGTTATTAACATGTATAGTAGTAATACATAAGAAAATTAGTACCATACGATCATATATGGCTCAACCTCGATATAATAGCTTTAAGAACTTTTAAGAACTGTAGTAGAATTCGATAAAATGCATGACATTTATATTTTTGAAATAAATAGTTTTTATTTTATTTTTTATAATAGAAATAACTGTCAACTGAGATTACTAAATCATGTCATATTTAGTCACTAGAAAAAATGAATATCAATTTTGGTCACTCGAATTACCGAAATATGTCACATTTAGTCACTCTCCCGTTAGTTTCCGTCCAACTACGTTAATGGAGTTGGACGGAGGCTAACAGAAAGTGACTAAATGTTACATGTTTCAGTAATTCGAGCAACTTATTATCGTCCTTCCCAACTTAGCGGCTGAGGTTCTTCTTCCAAGTTGCTCGCCAACAATTTTCAGAGGTCAAGGGTTTAGATCTCTAATTCAGCTCGCAGTTCATGAAAACCACCGGAGAAGGGAAACGGAAACCGGAAATGGTGATTGCTCCTCCTGCATGTTTCCGACGCAACCATCGTCCGGTCTGGCTTCTGCTCCCTCTTCGCCGCCGCAGCTCGCAACCTCCGCCGCCGCCTCGTCGTTGTCGCCCTTGATTTGCGCGTCCTCGACTTGTTCGAACCGGAGCTTCAACAGCTAGCTCTCGACCTCCGCCAGGTAATTCCCTACTTTGGTGTGATCCTGTAATTATTAATTAACAGGCAGAGAATAGTGACTCCAACTCTCCAAGCCCTTCCTGTAGAATCGATAGCTAATTTGTGTACCGAGTTGGTAAAAGTGGATAATTAGAGAGAAGTATTCCAATACTTGACAGTCTTTTGTTAGTCTTTAAAAATCATAAATTGGATAAACTATGTTTAGAATCCTTGATACTGCGCCAAATCAGCCCACTATTTCCCTTTTGCAAGTTGATGGGATTTGCAGAGTAGTCAATGAATTTTCTGGGCAAACAGTCGCTTCAGCACTGAAAACTCCAGAACAAAAAAAAGAAAAAATCTCACCACCAACCCCAGCCGGCTGTGAAACTTACCTTCATTTTCCTGGTATCATCTTTTTCCCGCGAAATTCCCCCCTCTTAAATTATGAATATATCATTGACGTCTCAAGTCTCAAGTCTTAACCAGTTGAAATGTGCGACTGGGAAGGTCCATCGTTCATATAGATTACAGACAGACAGCTTATCTTTATAAGTGATGATTCTGCACCCTCAATCCCATCCCCCATTTATGAAAAAACGGTCAACTTTCCATTTTACAGCTCTCGCACTGCATTCCTGATTCCACCTCGCTTTCTCTCTTCCCTCCCTCGGTGACTTCTCTCCTTTTCTTCTTTCATCCGTGGCCCTGTGTCTGCAAAGCTGGGAAATTTCCCGGCTTTGGTTCTCTGCATCTTCTTTCTTTACTGCTGCTGAGAAAACAGTTGATCTCTTCTTTATTTTTCCGGGAAGAGAAGCTAGGTGGTGTTCATTTCATGGGTTCCTGCATTAGTTCCGGAATCAAAGCTGAAAGCCCCTCCTCTAATGGTACCTCTACCGATTCTCTCCATATTTCTGCTAAGCTAATCATTGTTTCTTTATTTGGGTATACTTAATTTTTCCTTCCCAGCAAAGTCTGTTCCCTTTCTTCCTTTTTGATGATTCTGATCAATCAACATAGGTGGAAACTGGAATGTTAATTTGGTCCCTTTGTTATGGGTTGTGTTTTCTGTATCTCTAGGTCCACAAGCACTGTTGTCAACCCTTCCCATACCGTACAAACCTTCTAAATTATTTGTGACTCACTCTCATGAGACCGGTCTCTCCATCACTACCTGTGTTATCCAGCTCAGACCCAATGTTGGAAACTAGCAGCTCCCCTTATGCTTGAGACCTTGTTCCTATTAATAAACACTCCACAATCCCTTTTTGCTCTTATTACTTTTTTCTCTGGAAAAGAAGTTCTCCTGCGGAACCGACCCCATATATACTGAGCTTCAGCTAGCCTTTGCGATTTGAATCTTCCTTCATTTTCTTGTTCGATTGCAATATTCCAGGGAGGGTAACTTTCCTGTTGATCTTTTTAATTTGAGCCCTCTTCCCTTTTTATGGTTAATAGAAATGGGCACATGGCAGCTTCCATTTGACGTGGTGTCATTGTTTGATATGGTGTCATTGTTAAGCTGTACTCAAAACATTTCCTTTTGTGGTTTGATGCTATGTTCAGCGCTAATAGATGCTCAGTTTAATGATGTTGTTGGGTTTGGCAGGGGAGGGGAAAGAGTTTAGCGTATCCAACAGCAAGCTGTCATCATCAGCCGAGACCGTGCCCACTACTCATAGACCAGAAGGTGAGATCGTGCAAGCCACAAACTTGAAGAGCTTTACCTTCAGTGATATCGAGGCAGTCACTGGAAACTTCCGCCGCGACTGTGTACTAGGTGAAGGCAGGTTTGGGTATGTCTTCAAAGGATGGGTCGACGAGAATTCACTCACTGCTGTAAGGCCTGGAACTGGGATGGCTATTGCCATCAAGGAGCTTAACGAAGAGAGCTATCAGGGAGACCAGGAATTGCTGGTAATATATCTTCAAACTTTTGTCCGCTCTTAATTTCTCGGAGTTTAGAAATTTGAGCGAGGAAATGAAACCCGATTGTGTGTAACGTGTTTTTGATAATGGTGGGATGGTGATAGGCTGAAATCAAATATCTGGGGCAGCTGTTCCATCCAAACCTGGTGAAATTGATTGCTTACTGCTTCGAGGATGAACACCATCTTTTGGTCCATGAGTTCATGCCTATGGGCAGCTTGGAAAATCATCTCTTCGGAAGTGAGTTATTACAAAACTTTTCCTTGTGCTAATTTCCAAATGATAAAGGAAAAATCTCAATAACTCGAGTCATTGGGAAACCCATTGGTTTGGATATTTTATCAGTTGCTTATAGTAGGAACAATGGTGTCTGAAGCATTATTGTTGTTGTCACAGCGGATTTTGATTTCCAACCTTTGTCTTGGAAGCTACGTATGAAGATTGCATTAGATGCCGCGAAAGGTCTAGCATTCCTTCACAGCGATAAGGCCAAAATGATATTCGGAGACTTCAACACTTCCAATATCCTTCTAGATTCGGTAACGTGAAAACGAGAACTTGTTAATGATTTTTTCCCACTGTACTCATAACCGGCACTCTGCATTCTGTCTCCCTAACAACATTCATTTTCATGAAACTGTGTAATGGTACTAATAATAGAGATACAACGCCAAGCTGTCGGATTTTGGGTTAACCATGAATCCTATAGAGAGTATGAACCCCTATGACACAAAATTCGCAGTTCCATATGATGGTGGAGCTCCTGAGTACATAGCGACAGGTAACTCTACATGCTGTGCATTGATATGATATCCCTGAATTATGCTTCATTTCCTCCCTTGTCTTGTTCGCACTGTTATTTTCTTCTCTGTCCTGTTTTGAAGGGTTTCGGACATCGAAGAGCGATGTGTATAGATTTGGGGTAGTCCTGCTAGAGATAATTTCGGGCAGGAGAGAATTTGACAGGGAAAGGCCATGGAAGGAGAAGTACCTTGTGAAATGGGCGATGCCTTACTTGAGTAACAAGGCGGAGATCTTCCAAGTGATGGATGCAAGGATTGAAGGGCAGTACAGCGTCAGCTGCACAATGAAAGTGGCAGGCCTAGCACTGTTATGTCTGTCAGCAAAACCCAAGTGTAGGCCAAACATGGAAGAAGTGGTGAGAAGTTTGGAGCAGATTTATGACGGGTGCAATAGTAGCAGTAGTAATGAGGGTGAGTTATCAGGAGGATCAAGATCGAAAGAAGCTCATGTTGTGGGTAATTGAAGGGCTCCTCCCTCTTGTCCCAAACTTCTGCATCTGCTGTATTACCTTGATAGATGCATGCCAACAGCGATTGGTTGTATTGTGTGCTCGAGTTTGGTCCGAGGGTGAATTGCCATATGTCCATTTTGCTTTGGAGTTTTGAAGTTTGTGCTTTACAAGGTTGAAGCAGGATACATTATGGTACAGCCGTTTACCCCTCATACTTTTTCTCCCCACTATCAACTCGGTCTGGCCTGTTCTTGTTTCGACGCAAGTGATTCATGAATCATCTTATGTATGATAAATTATTTTTTTAGCATTTTTACTTGAGTTGTGACTAATATTGGGGTTCGACATTTTCACATGATGTATATGATAATATGAGTGCTCGAGGGTGATGACGAATATTGTCAAATTTGCATTTGCTCCAAATGAACCGGCTGAACCATAATCTGAAGAGCTTGAAGAGCTTGGTAAAAGTTGGCAGTTATTGTGGTTAGTGTTTCCTGTGGATGGTAATCGGTCGGTATCCGGTATACAATGATCATACGCTGGATTCAAATTGACCTCAGAGTCAAACACCTTAGGGAATGATCCATGTGACGGAGAATTGAATTTATAGCAATGGTTGGGTCACTATTTATCCTAAAAGTTAATCTTGTACCACATATGTTAAAAACAAGGAATTGAATGGTTTTATAAAGCCAACTTAATTATAATAGTTTAAATTAATTAAGTGGGCCATATGGGTTGGGTTTTTGGCCCATTATCACATGTCACCATGTGCGCCACTCTAACCTGATTGGGTCACTAACGTCAATTATGGCAAAGGATGGTCATCAGCATACCCCCATTGTATGATAAGGGGTGATCATTTTGGGTGAAATTTGACTAAGTCTGGAACCAACAAGAGGAGGACCCCAGATGTCCGATTTTTGACCTGTGTGATCCAAACACCCACCCACACGTAACAAGGGGGTCATCACGCCTTCTTCGTTTTCTCAACTGGCATAACTATCAAGGTGAGAACCAACAAGAGGAGGACGAGGAGGACCCCAGATGTACGATTTTTGACCTGTGTGATCCAAACACCCACCCATACGTAACAAGGGGGTCATCACGCCTTCTTCGTTTTCTCAACTGGCATAACTATCAAGGTGAGGGGGCCAAGACTAAAGAGGGTACAACCACCAAAGGCAGGACATAATCGAAGCAGTTGAGAGGGTAACCGCCACTCCACGTCAGCAGAGCAGTTTCTCGAGGCAGTTACATCTGGTGGCTATAAATAGGAGATGAAGATGACGGAGAAAGGGTTCGCCAAATTCACACAAGACAACACAATGTCAACTTTTATCCTTTTATCTTTTCCTCTGCAAATTTAGCCATAGTTGTAGTTCTGGAGCTCTCACTGAACCTCCATAGGAGTAGAGTTAATGTAATTTAGTTTGTCTCGTAGATCATCAAGAACATGAACACCCTTGTTTGAAATTTGTTCAAAGAGGTGTAGACTGTGTTTGTTAATTGTTTGCTTGGAAGTCACAAGTGCATTCAATTCTCATCCATCTAGATTTTCTCGTCGGGAAAACAAATTGGCAACCCTGGTGGGACGCGTGTGTTTGATTTGATGGATCCAAGGCGGAGATATCCAGAAGGTGATGCTTCGGCTGGTTTTATGGAGTAGCAGCCTAGCAGGTGGCCAACATTGAACTTGACCATGTTGCAGAGGCGGTGCCCGGAAACAATGGTGGGGCGGAGATCCTACCAACGGCGACGCCGAGTGGAGATATTGGTGAAGCAGTAGGGGTCCTTCGTCAAATGATGGAGGAGAACCGCAAGCTTGTGGCAGAGAATCGTCAAGCCATAGAGGAGAACCGCCAAATGATGGTGGAGAACCGTCGCATGATGGAGGAGGCTAGATCTGTTTCTCATCAGGTAAACTATCAAATGGACTGTCTTAATTCTCGAGTAGATAGACGTCTGAGTCAATTGTTTGAAGTGGTCAATAAGAACAAAATGATTTTGATGAGTTTAGAAAATTTTTAACCACGCCATTAGTTCAATCTAGAGCTCTGCCATTAGATGGCGGGAATCCGAACCCAAATAGCAATTCTGAAAATTTTAGTTCATCTCCCGTCGGCGATGGAAATGGTCAGCCACGGCATGATAACTTCTCCCCGCCGATGACAAACCAACCCCTCACCGCCTGAATCACGGCGAGATTCCCACCACTACTCAAGTGGAGGGAGTACCCCATGTGGGAGTTGGAGAATTACCCCCACGTGGGGAGAATTTTGGTGTAAGGCATTCTACTTCGGTGGCCACCCATACCCATACCAGTGGCAAGGCCCTATACGGTGCCTGCTCACTTTGATGGGGGAGTAGAGTTAGGTTGGGGAGATCAAGTTCCTCCAAGGGTGCACCCAAGACCCATGCCATTGCCACCCCATTTCAATGGGCATGGCATGGACCCCATAGGGTTCATATCCCAAGGGGGGCAACCAGGGGGCATGATCCCAACATTCTAAGGGATCAAGTGGTTCAACTTCTTGCCGAGCAATTTGGCATAGGAGTGAGACCCACCATGCCACCTGTTTATCGGAAACCATACCCTGAGTGGGTGGATGACTTTACCCATTCCCAAGGGGGTTTAGGGTGCCCGAGTTTGTCAAATTCAATGGGACAGGGGACCAGTCTACTGTGGAGCACATTGGACGTTTTACTGTCCAGTGTGGGGATGTAGGAGATTTTATTAAGTTAAGAGTATTTGGTAACTCATTGACATTACCTGCTTTTGCTTGGTATGTCAACTTGCATTCCAATTCCGTTCAGACATGGCAGCAGATGGAGAAAATCTTTCATGCTCAGTTCTATAGATCTGAGCGTGAGGTTTCCATGGCTGATTTGGCGCGCATGCGCCAAGAGCCAGGGGAGTCGGTGGAACACTTCTTGACAAACTTCAAGAATGCTCGTAACCGTTGTTTTGTCAACTTGACAGAGAGAGAGAGAGAGAGAGAGAGAGAGAGTTTGTCAAGTTAGCACAAGGGGGGTTGAGTTTTGAGTTAAGAAAGAAATTTCAAGATAGAGAATTTTCTGACTTGTTCCAACTCATGTCTTGTGCGGTGCCATATGAATCTCTTCTTCAAGAAGAGTAGAATAGGAGGAGTGCTTCTAGGGGGAAATACTTCCCCAACATCGGCTACCCTGTCAACCATACTGGCCAAGAGGCCAATGAGGTGGAGGTAGACCTGGCTGAGTTAACTCCAGAGAAGCCATATGTATGTGCTTCTTTGGCTAAGGTGGACAATGAACCACAAGGGGATAGAAAATCGTGCCTCCATCCAGCCACGAAAGTATTCCTTCGATTTTTCTAAAGCTGACTTGATATTTGATCAACTCTACAAAGATGGTCAAATCAAGTTGACAGGGGGCATAACATTCCACTCCCTGAGAAGTTAATAGGGAAAAAATATTGTAAGTGACATAATATCATGTCACACTCTACTGAATCATGTGTGGTTTTTCACAATGTATTGTTGCCATCAAGAAGGGACACATCAAGTCCCTGAGCCAAAGAAGGATGTAATGCTGGTGGATACCAACCCGTTTTCCAACTTGATTGGTGTCAACATGGTTAACCCAAACTTCTCCAAGATTGAACTTCCTCATTTCAAACTGGTGTTAGATACAACACCGCAACAAGAGACCCCCAATGTGATGGTGGTGGAGCAGGGAGAGTCATCGAGGGGCAAGCAGGCCAACTTGGTCGCGTCTAAGGTGTCCAGTGAGGTGGAGAAGCTATGTGCCCAATGCCAAAGGAGTCTTATACTTGATGAAGTGAGACAAACTCCACCAGTCCAACAGATACTTGGTTGTCCCCATAGGCCGAGATACCCACCTTATCAAAGACAAGTAGAGGGGGTCATTCAACCGGCTTGGGGACAAAGGAGGCAATGGATAGCACATGGTCCTCTTCCCTTGAGAATGACTTTCAAGATGCCCAATGTGCCACATGGAGGGTGGCATACTTATGACATGCGTCGTCAACAACCAGTAGCTATTGGGGGGATGACAAGGACTCAAAGGAGGAGATTCCTACGTAAGAATGCTAAAGCACAAAAGGGCAATACCCATTAGTACCTGGTGAGATAGTGGGACCATCACAACAAAATGAGGATGGTCATGCTAGTATTGAGGTGGACAACTCTATGGCCATGGGTCCCAAAGTAATAGTGTCTGACAAGAGCAAGCATGTCCAATTCCAAAGTGATGGTAAGGGTCAGAAGGGGAAAAATGGTAAATGGGGTGATTCAAAGTCAGCTTGTGAAGAATCATCTCCTTTGAACAACCATGGCCATATGGTGTATGGTTGGCTTGTTTGGTTTAATACATGGACTTGGCAATGGATGAATAGCTTTGGAACGTTGGCTATTGCCAAAGGGTATGAAGATCAATGATGCTTGTAACTACTTATTATATGCAATAAAAAAGTACAATATATTAATTAATATAGAAAAGCTAATCATGGCTATATATATATATTTAAAATGTTGAAGTGGCAAGTTTGAGTAGGAGTTAGTATGTTTCGATGTGAAGATATTGCCACGACTGGTAAGCCTCAATCATTACTTATACTGCTAGACCATTAAGATGGCCTAATCATGCCAAATCTTAAAATCCTGCTAAGGTGTGAACCATACCCTATGACAAGACATGGGGAGTGATGGTGATTGGCATGAGGTATATGATTAATAGTAGTTGAGATTAACTAGGGGGGCATGATGTTGCTCTGGCCTCAATAGCTTCTAAAGATACTATGCCACGTAATTTAAGAATAATTTTGGGGTTGAAGGTAGGGGTGATAATCGGCGACCGGTTAGTCGGTCAACCGAAAAATCAGTTTATCGGCTAACCGAAAACCAAAAGAAATGATATTGGTCTCGGTGTCGGCTAGCCATTTGGAGTTAGTCACTAACCGGCGGTTATCTGTTGCTAACCGGCGATTATCGGTTACTAACCGACCAACCATCCCTTTGACCTCTCGCTGCCCCCAACTCCTTCATCCTCCCGATGCCCACCTTCCTCTACCTCTCCGTCCAGCTCCTTCCTTCCGATCCAGGCCTCAAATCTTCCTCTAACTCATAACCAACCTCCTTCCTTCCTCTAAATCGTCCTCGCCTCCCCTTCTCCACCAAAATCCCACACAAACCCTAAATCCTTTCCATCTCAATTCTCCAAAATTCCGACCTCGCCACCCATTATCTTTGCTCCGACGGCGGCACTTGCGAGACTGCAAAATTGCTTGCGAACCCCTCATAGACGACACCAATAAATCAATATCATAGTCGTCGTCGGCGCCTCGTCTACCTTGTCGTCGCTAATCGAAATCGCAGGTTCGCCTTAGTCATTCACATCGAAATTTGCTATGGCCTTCTTCCTCTACCTCTTTGACTTCCAGTGACATGCATGAGCATGTCAAGGAGAGGCAGGCTTGACCGCTAGAGAAGAGATGCCCACACCACCACCGGAGCACCGCCGTACACATCCCCACTCCGCCGCGCATCAGTCCAATCACACAAATTGCCGTCGTCCACATCCTCACCTTGCCCGTCGCTCCGACTCCCCAATTTCCAGGCCTTCTCGGCTAATCGCCCATCCCCCTGAAACCGTCGGCTGCGGTTATCGGCTAACCGATAGTGCAGTCGGTGTTTATGGCGGTTGGGGATTTCGCCTCCTTCTCTATGTCGGCTAACCGACTTTGCGGTTCGGTTAAAATCGAAACCGCACCACTAACAGCCCTAGTTGAAGATCACAATGGCATGAGGGACATGATTTGTATCGAGATTGAAGAACGAATGTGGGGGGAAGAGAATTTGAAAATCTTTTATGTCAAGGAGAGATTTGGTTTTAATGTTCTACAAGGAGTAGGAGATTTAAGAATCCTAACAAAACATGGTAAGAAATACTTTTGGGAAAAAATTATTAGATCACAAGATAATTATTTTTGACTTTTTGGCCGAATTAGTAAGGAAGAGTTATAAAAAGAGTTCATCCGGTGACTGAAGCTACCAAGGCCAATTGGGATTACAATCAACAGAATATTTAATTATTATTTTTACCCCTTCATCCCCTTCGCAGACGGACACGGGTATAGAGAGGAAAATCATGGTTTTTATTGTGGTGATAGGATTTTGTATTTAAAGCCAAAATATTGGCTAAGTAAGTGGCGGCTGTTTACCCTAAAAGTTAATCTTGTACCACATCGGTTAAAACAAGGAATTAAATGGTTTTATAAAACCAACTTAATTATAACAGTTTAAATCAATTAAGTGGGTCACGTAGGTTGGGTTTTTGGCCCATTACCGCATGTCACCATGCGCCACTGTAACCCGATTTGACTAAGTATTGGAGCCAACCCCATGACGTGATGATGGGGATGGAGACCCGATAAAATTTGGCTAAGTATGGAAGATGATAGAGGTGGTCAGGGCCCCCCCATGGTATGATCAGGGGGATCAACGGGTCACTAACGTCAATAATGGCCAAGGATGGTCATCAGTATACCCCCATGGTATGATAAGGGTGTGATCATTTTGGGTGAAATTTGACTAAGTCCGGAACCAACAAGAGGAGGACGAGGAGGACCCCAGATGTGTGATTTTTGACCTGTGTGATCCAGACACCCACCTACACGTAACAAGGGGGTCATCACACCTTCTTCATTTTCTCAACTGGCATAACTATCAAGGTGAGGGGCCCAAGACTGAAGAGGGTACAAGTACAACCACCAAAGGCAGGACATAATCGAAGCAGTTGAGAGGGTAACCACCACTCCACATCAACATAGCAGTTTCTCGAGGCAGTTACTTCTGGTGGCTATAAATAGGAGGTGAAGATGACGGAGAAAGGGTTCGCCAAATTCACACCAGACGACACAATGTCAAATTTTATCCTTTTATCTTTTCCTCTGCAAATTTAGCCATAGTTGTAGTTCTGGAGCTCTCACTAAACCTCCATAGGAGTAGAGTTAATGTAATGTAGTTTGCCTCATAGATCATCTGGAACATCGAACACCCTTGTTTGAACTTTGTTCAAAGAGGTGTGGACCGTGTTTGTTAATCGTTTGCTTGGAAGTCAAAAGTTCATTCAATTATCGTCCATCTTGATTTTCTCGTCGGGAAAACAGTCACGGATTGAGTTGAGTAATATCATGTGACGAGTTGACTTTTATTTTCCTCTGGTTAAATTTGGGTGACTTGGCATTTTCGTAAGCCGTGTCATAAAAAAAATGATGGCCTTAACATAGTCTAACGGAAGTGAACAACCAACGACAAATATTGGAATGTTGGATTAATTAAAATGACTAATAACGTAATAAAAAATTTTAAGTGACAAACATGCTCGGACCGAGAAGGGGCACTGCTTGACATTGCATATTTGAACTCATCAAAGCTCGATTAGCATCAGTATGCTCGATAAACGGAATGAGGGAAGCCCGAATGGAAAAATATTGGAAGGGAAAATTCGGAAATGAACCTGTTCCAAGCAAAATTAGTAATCTCAACAACCAAATATGTTATTTAACCATATAGGAATGTGAGTGATCATGTGAATTAATATGTATGTTACTGAATTTTTGTTTGCCAATGTATTCGCTAGTTTTTCTCAACAACCAAATATGTTATTTAACCATATAGGAATGTGAGTGATCATGTGAATTAATATGTATGTTACTGAATTTTTGTTTGTCAATGTATTCGCTAGTTTGGATTCGGCGAAACCCGATCCAATCCGACCCATCCCCTACAACTGAAAGGGCCAACTAGTTGGACCCATCAGACAATTGAAGCCGAAGCCTAGACAAAATTCGGCTCTCGTACAAAGTTTGCATCTGTCGATAGAAATGAGACGGCCCAGCCCAATATCGGATCCAAGTTCAATATCTAGGGTTTAAAACAACCGTTTCAATCAGTTCCTCCGACCGCCATTAGACAGCAACATTTCAGTTTCGCCTGCTCTCGAAGTCAGTCGGGAAGGGGATCAAAATCGAAGGTAGAAAAAGGAAGACGAGGAAGAAGAACACCGAAGTAGTTTCGTGGGCGCGTCTCGTGCGCCAGGAATCGTTGCAGCCTTCATTACAAGTCTACAGGTATCTCTGAATTTACGAAGACCTCGCTGTAATCAGCTGCTTGGCCAAAACATGTTCGAGGCCCTAGCTCGTCGGTTCGCTGCTGAAATAGAACTTTCGGATGAGCTATTGTGCTCCGAATACCAGATCGATGCTCTGTTTTCATTTTTGCCAGTGTGGGAAAGCTTTCTATGAAGCGATGTATTGCTGGGTATCTGGTGGGCTAATATGAATCTTGGTAATCTAATGGCTAGGTGGTCTTATGAGGAGGTACAGCCCGCAGTACTATAGCCCTCCAAGGAGGGCATATGGAGGTCGACCGAGGAGTCCACCCAGGAGAGGTTATGGTGGTGGAGGTGGCGGTGGCGGTGGCGGTGGCGGTGGAGGCTATGGTAGGCGAAAGGACAACCAAGGCAGCCTCTTGGTCCGTAACATTCCTCTTGATTGCGGGTGAGTTTTACTTTCGAGCTAATGATGGTTTTGGAGGCCTTGTTTGAGAGTCATTTTGCTCATTTGTTGGAGTTGTTGGGTGTTTTGCAGCCAAGAAGAGCTTAAGGCTGCATTTCAGCGTTTTGGGGCTCTAAGGGACGTTTACATTCCAAAGGACTTTCACACAGGGTGAGATTTTACGATGGTGACATTGCTGGTTTTTTGCTGGTTTTCTCTCTCAGTTGGATCCATTGCGCACAGGTTTAAATGGTTCGTTTATTTTATCATCTTAACGGATAGAGGAAAGGTCAACTAAGTAAATCCATGGTGTAGCATGTTCTGAGCCAGAGAACCAACAACAATCTGTTAAAATCGTTCAAAACAAAGTTGAAAACAGTTATAAAAATTACTCCTGGTATTTAGCTGGATTTGGGTCAATCCTATGGGGATGCATATAATATTTGGTCATGCAAGCTACTCGGTGTCAAGTCTGGTGTTGAGTAATAAACTACGAAAACTCTCACATGCAATGTTAGTAGTGGGTGGATGCTTTTGATCACTGTTCGACTGCTGTAGGCAGTTTCTTGCATCTCTTGTGCGTGTACTACTCATGAAAATTTCTTGAAGCAATGATTTTGCTCATTATTTTCATTTTCATGGTGCACTGGATTTTAAATGGTTTGTCAGGGGGGTTGTTGGTTTGAAGTAAAATCAAGACCAAGCCCCACAAATGTTGAAGACCTTCTGTTAAACATTACCTAACATATGGGTCTCAAGTCTCAACTCAAGATAATGTCCAAATGAAGAATGTGCCTTTATGAAGAGAAATTTTGTAATTACCCAACAATAGAGGTTTGATGAGCAAAGAGGATTTATTCTTGGCCGTCTGAAGACGACTTGAAGAGATTTAGATTGGCAACATTGGTCGAAGGCCAGGTCATCATGTATTTACCAGTATTTGAAGAAAATATCAGTGACTTGCATCTTTTCAAGTTGGTCGAAGTGCATCTTGTATTTACCAGCATTTGAAGAAAATACCAGTGACTTGCATCTTTTCAAGTTGGCTTTGGTACTTGACTTTTAAGGAAGAGGTCAGCCACTATCCTGCTTTTATGTGAGTTCAGTGTCATCATATTTCTAAGTGCACTGGAGGCAGAAGAAAGGTATACTAACAACTAAATGCTTGAGTTATGGATTAGGAATCTCATTTCAGGAAGTTCACTTATCATCCTTAGATAAATCTTGCTTGGTTGTGCATCGACTCTCTAGCCTTATAATTATATTTTGTTGCTCTTTTTATAGGGAACCCAGAGGCTTTGCATTTGTGCAATTTGTGGATTCATATGATTCCCTTGAAGCTCAGCGTCGCATGAATGGACAAATATTTGCTGGCAGGGAGATTACTGTTGTGGTTGCAGCAGAGTCCAGGAAAAGGCCGGAGGATATGCGACATAGAACTCGGACTAGGTAACCACGATCTCCTGCAAGCATATTACTTTCTCACAAGTGGTATTCTGTCTGATTCATCCAATTTTCGAAACATCTTGCAGGGGAGGGGGCCGCGGGGAAAGATCATCTTATTATGGTATATATGCCGGTACCTTCTTCACCCAAAAGTTGGCGTTTGAATCTAATCCTGCCTCTCAATCTTTCTGCATCGTCTATCTTGTTCTGCATGCCACTGTGTTAAGATATTCGCCCACAGGGAAGTTATTTATTCATGTCAAATAATCGTTGGCATAATAATTTCAGGGCGCTCTCGATCTCGTTCGCTGTCTCGGTCACGCTCTCCTCACCATCACGGATCAAGGTCTAGATACCGTTCAAGGTTGGCAACTCTTGTGCTCACATATAGCTCGCCTCTGCACATTGAACAAATTGTCTGGGATATAAACATGTTTCTGCAACTTGTGTTTAGGTCCTACTCTCCTCCTGCTCCAAGAAACCGCAGAGACTACTCGCCTTCCCCAGGCAGGAGGCACCCTAACCCTCCAGTTCGATCTCCATCTCGCTCTCCATCTCCCAGAGGTCCTCCTCCCCCTGAACGAGATGGCGGCCGCGACAGGCTATCATATTCCCCACAGGGTTATGGCAACCCTGACAATGTAGACAACAAGGGAAACGGCTATACCGAGTAAGTGGATGCTGGGTTTTCAGCCTTGTCAACGTTCTTCCTTATCTGGTCGTTGAAATAACACCCAAACCACATTTTCCGCTCCAGGAAACATGTTCATGGCTTGGAGGACGAAAGAGCTTGGAGGAGGCCAGCAGCTTCACCTGGAAGAAGGCCTGCCGCCGCGGCCATTTCGAGATCCCCATCAGGCTCTAGATCAAGGTCTCCCAACCCGTCTCCTGGCCGCCGCCACCACGGCAGATGATTGACGATCTAATCTGGCACCATCCATCATCATCATCATCTAAAATCACTGTTCTTGCATTGTATGAAAAAACGAATCGAGTAGAAACGGTTGTTGGATGGTTTTCGTTGTTTGACGTGGTGGATTGTTCTCTATGTCGCACTCATGAACTCTCTGTTTCTGTCTCTCGGGTCATTTCAATAGCCGAGTAAGAATGTTGTCATCTCTCTTAGGTTCATGGCCTTTTTTTATTTTTTATTCCGATGCCAAATTAGCCACGCCGTTGAAACCACGCTATCCAACGAACGACGTGTTGTTTCTTTGTCCTACATAAGAATGTTTACGTTGATGTTAGGAAATGTTAGAGTGACAAGCGTTGATTCCAGTGGCGCTTCGTCATCTCTTTTCCACGGTAAGCCCTGGCGGCCATCCGTGTGAACGAGGAGGTATCGTGACGTGGAAGTCTGTCGACGAAGTCTGTTGTCACCGGCGGCGGCAAGGGATGGAAACTGGGGAGAAAGGGACAAACTGCTGACTTGCCCAGCAAGTTAACTTGGTAAACTTGTGAAATCAATTAATAATAATAATAACTACCGTGACGTGATTCTGATTTCTGCAAGGAAGGTCGTTGTTTCCAAGGGTGGAAATTTGTCAATCTTCTGGGATAGAAGCATTCTGCTTAGTGTCAAGTCTATCCTTAATTACTGTCCGTCCGATGATATCAGCGGTGGTCGGAGGTGGCACGTTTCCATTTTTATTCATTCCAAAAACTACTCTTTTTTTTTTTAATTTTATTTTATTTAAGTGAAGATGGGGGCATTTTTAGGGGTTCTCATTTTGTGGGGACGCTTTGCTGGTTCGTTGTTTCGGCGACCGCCTTAATTAAAAAAATGCGACTTTATTTCTGCCTTTGTAACATCAATCGGCAGCCAAGAGAGGAAAAATTAAATAATAAAAGGAGGAAAAAGATTTTATTTATTTTCTTTCTTGCATAAGAATTTGGTTTCTGGAAACTGTGACAATACACTACTACTGCTGCGTCTATCCTGTTTCGCTCCTTTTCTTCTTACTCTGCCTCTTCCCCTGCCTGCCATATCCTTTTCTCTTCTTCTTCCCATTGCGCCATTATTGTTGCAGCCTTTTCTTTGCGGCCGCCTTCCTCCTGTTGAAGGTTCTCTTTCTTCCTGCTTTTCATTTGGATACCCTTTTCTGTTTGTTGCTGATTTTGATTGTACCCTTTTTCAGCTGCTGCTTGGTTTCCTCTGTAATTTTCTCATTTGGGTTGTGTGTCCATTTCATCTACTCCTCTCTCAGGGCTTGTAGATCGTAGCTGCTACTACTGGTCATTGAGAAATCGAAGATATTCCCGCCTTCGTTCATGGTTTGTATTACTTCCCCTTTTCATTTCTGATCTTGGGCTCTGTTTTCGTCTCAGTCCTGTATAGGGTTTGAGTTCGTTTCTTTCATTGTTTGTGGGATGTAGTGTAGTGCTGAAATTTGACTGTGGCGGTTTTGATGTTTTTTGTTCTTGTTGCAGGTGAGTCCAATCGACCACCAAATGGCCGGCGGCGGCGGCGGCCACAGGGACCTAGGGCCGGCGTGGTTGAAACCAATGCTGAGAGCGAGCTACTTCCACCCCTGCCCTTTCCATGGCGATTCCAACAAGAGCGAGTGCAACATGTTCTGTTTGGACTGTACCGGGAGTGCTCTCTGCTCTTATTGTTTGATCAATCATAGAGACCACCGTATTGTTCAGGTTTGGTGATGAAATTGATGATAATGTGTTCTACCCTTTCTTTCTTTCTTTCCCTAATTGTTGAGCCTGGGGATTTGATTGATTGTAGAACTAATGGGTGTGGGGTGGTTCTTTTTCCCACTTCTATTTGCTCCTGCAGATTCGGCGATCTTCGTACCATAACGTGGTGAGAGTGAACGAGATACAGAAGTACATAGACATTGCCTGCGTCCAGACCTACATTATCAACAGTGCCAAGATTGTGTTCTTGAACGAGAGGCCGCAGCCTAGGCCAGGAAAAGGGGTTACCAACACTTGCGAGATATGTTGCAGGAGCCTCCTCGATTCCTTCCGGTTCTGCTCTCTCGGCTGCAAGGTTTGGCTCCCAATCAACCTCAATTCCTTCTGCATTCTTTTGATTCATCTTCAGATTTTTTTTTGTTTGTTCAAACAATGAATGTGGTATCTATCCAACTCTGTCAGCTGGGAGCCATGAAGCGAGGGGATCGAACCCTCACATTCTCACTTCTGAATAAGCACAACCACAGAGATCACTTCCTCGGAGGGTTCGACTCTGATGACTACGATGACGATGAATCGTCCACTCCCAAGAAGATTCGGAGGACGAATTTCTTCAATCGCATGATGGACAGGCTATCCATCCACTCTTTCAACAGCGGCGATGGAAGAGACAGCTCAGGTGATGAAGCTGCAACCAACATTTCCCCATCGACTCCCCCCATCTTCAATCATCGCAATGCCAGGAGGAGGAAGGGCATTCCTCATCGCGCCCCATTTTGACAGCCTTCCTCCAATATGCTATGAAGATAAAACCACAGGGAGGAGGGTTGTTTCCATGCAGCACTTGGTAGTAGTGTGTAGTGAAGCAGTAACCTTATACACAGATAAATACATACGGTAGGAGTTGGTATAGTTTGCTTTCTGGGTTGTATATAATATATTCAGCTAGCAAGGGTAGTAGTGATGATGCTCTGATAATTATGAGCTGGTGGTCAGTCTTATATATGCAGTCTCTTTTCCCTTTCGTGATATAAGTTACTAGGGTATTGTAGGAATGATGGGTAGTAAGTAACCCAGTACTGAGAACTGTATATATGTATAATGCAGGTATAGATGTTTGGTTGATGTGTATACCAATACAGGCAGCTTTGTGTAAAAGCTTATGGCCTATGGGATACTTCTCTGTACATGTACACTTGTGTAACAAGTAACACCAAGTAGTCTTTGTACAGGAAAGAAGTGAATGATATTTCACAGCTTGGTTAGGTGTCATTGTCTTATTGGGAATCGATGGATTAGGTTAGAATGTGATGTTGCTATGGTATTAATGATGTTTGTGGTGAATTAGGAGGACTAATTGTGGTTTCTTTTGATGTTGTGCTAGGAATGGTTGCTGTTTGTTGATCCTGTACTGGTCAGGTCATACTGGTCAGGACTTATTATGATCTATTGCTCTCTGTAGTGCCAATGAATGCTGCTGCTAACTCTGCATACTCGTTATCCGACCCTTGACCTCGATCCGGTTTGGTTTTGTTTTGGCCTTTTGGTTCGAGGTTCGTTGAGAATTTTGACGATCAAGTATAAATGCGTCGAGAGTTACCAGGATGAGATTAGGTGATATTAGGTATTAGCTTACTATCGAGGGAGTGGGGCGCCCTATGTCTGACTGAGGCTTCTGCTTTAGGGTGACACCTCTCTTCCTCCCAAGTCTTTGTCTTCGTCGACGTCGTATTATTGACAGCTTTTTTTCGACATAATTCCATTCCATGGCGGATAAGGATTGGAGAGGAAGCGTGGGGGCTGCAAATTCCTTGGGGGAAAAAGTGAGTGATTGAGAACTAAGAAAACAACACTTCTTCCCTACTGCAGATTAACACCTTGTAATGCAGATAAAATCGCATCATAAATATATTTAAATAAAAAACAAAAATGAAAGAAGTGTTTGGAAGGCAGGGGAGGGCAACCCTACCATAAGAAAATGACATGACCCCTGGCTCCATTATCGTAATCATATCCTAATTAGGCTTTTTCCCCACCTCTCTTCTGCTTCTTCACTTCCATGTACAAATCGAAAATAAGCAAGTGATAGTGAATTAATATATTTTATTAAGTGTATCATTAATTTAGAGACAGAAATAAAACAACCACACCTATTTTAATTAGACGTAACTTACTCGTACTGTATTTTACTAACTATAGTTGGATTTCACAGCTTGAAAAGAATGAAGAGTAGTACGATTTGAGGTCTATCTACAAGCAATAATTATTGTTTTGTTTCATTGGTATCTTCGATCAGTAAGTGCTAGAAGGGCAAATATCTTTGTCAGATTCATTATTTCGCCCCCTCTCATTTGGATCTTTCTAAACCTAACATTGGATGCATGATAGGTAAGTATTGTTTCTGACATATTTGTTTTCTTAAGTCTTAACCCTTAATCTTATTTTTATTATTGGATAAGGGATCTGATTTAATATGAGAATCAGTGATTTTGTATTAAAATTTTAAATTTAATACCAAATGATCACGATAAAATTAAACTCGATGATTGATAACTTCTTCTAAACAATGTTGATCCACCATTTATTTGATATTAAAATGGAATAATTTTCCTTGAAATATGACAATGACAAATGAAATCGAAAAGGAGTAAAAGAACAGGGAGGGGAAGATGATATTGATGGGAGAATAAAGCCATCAATCCATTACCAACAGTACTGATAACCATAACCCACCTTATGCTTTACTATCCCCACTCCTCCTTTCACCACCACCTTTGAAAATTAAACCTAATCAAGCACTACGCATTTTAATTACACATATGTACACAATGATCTTTAATTAGTCCATGTTGTTGATATGACTTGAATCGGACTATCAGCCGCTACGACTGGTAACCGGGGGCCTGGTCTGTAACCGTTTCCTTTGCTAGATTGGATTAGGTTTAGACCCACATGGAGAAGTACTATAAATACTTCTCATACTCCTCTGTAATCTGTAATCTCCTCGATATAGTGAAACTGGCTCTCTCTCGCCCGTGGACTAGCTAACACACATCGTGTTAGTGAACCACGTAAATCGTGTGTCTGTGTTCTTTCGATTCTCGCTCTCGTATTCTTGCTTTGTCGATTCCGGCGATTTCCCGATCCGTAGCAGCGCGTTTATAACAAGTGGTATCAGAGCCGCGGCTGGAAATCAGGCTAGGGTTTTTCGATTCAGAAGAATGACGTCGGTGAACATGAAGATCGAAAAGTTCACGGGGAAGAACAGCTTCGCTATATGGCAGATCAAGATGCAGGCTTTATTGAAACAGCAAGGGCTGTGGGGGCCGCTGTCTGCGAAACAGAAGAAGGCAGCGGTCGATGACGATGAGTGGAATACCCTGGAGGAGAAGGCCCACTCGACCATCATGTTATCGTTGTCTGATGACGTCATCATTGAAGTCGCTGCTGAGAAGACTGCCGCGGACTTGTGGTTGAAACTAGAGAGTCTGTACATGACTAAGTCTCTAACCAACAAGCTGCATCTCAAGCAACGGTTGTTCAGCTTGAGGATGCAAGAAGGTACGCCTTTGAGGGAACATCTCGAACAGCTTAACTCTATTTTGCTGGATCTGCGTAATATAGATGTTCAAGTTGATGACGAGGATGCTGCCCTAATCCTGCTGGTTTCTTTGCCGAGTTCATATGAGAATTTCGTTAATTCTTTTATTGCTGGTAAAGAAAGCGTGTCGTTGGAGGATGTCAGGTCTGCTCTTCATACGAGAGAGATCAGGCATAAGGCGTCCGGATCTGGTACAGGTGGTGAGGCATCGGGTTTGGCTGTTACAGGTGGAAAGGGAAAGAAGAAATCTGGAAAAGGGAATTCGAACAAGAATTCCAAGGGTCCCGGTCCACAGCCAGGTGATGCTTGTCACAACTGTAAGGAAGTGGGGCATTGGAAGTACAACTGTCCCAAGAGAAGAGGGCAACAGAAGAAACAAGGTTCAGTTGCCGTGGCAGAAGTGGACAACAGTTCTGAAGACGATCTCGCCTTGGCTGTAGATGAGAAGGCACATCGTGGTGATGTATGGTTTCTGGATACTGCAGCCTCATACCATATGTCTCCGAACAGAGATTGCTTCACAACCTACAAGCAGATAGATGGTGGTAATGTGGTCATGGCTAATGGAGCTGTCTGCAAGGTTGTTGGAATCGTGTCCATAAAGGTTCGGACACATGATGGTTCGTTCTGTACCGTGAATGATGTCAGACATGTTCCACGAATGACAAAGAACCTGATCTCCTTGAGTCTACTCGACAGCAAGGGTTTCAGCTTCAAAGGAAAAGGTGGAGTTGTGTATGTCTGCAAAGCTTCAAGGAAGGTGCTGAAGGGCGTGAAGCGTGGGACCTTGTATGCATTACAAGGGTCTGTGTTGTCTGGTTCTGCTGCAGTTGCATCGTCTCAGGTTCAACAGGAAGATATGACCACTCTCTGGCACATGAGACTGGGGCATATGAGTGAACGGGGGATGCAAGTTCTATCGAAGAGGGATCTTCTTTGCGGGCACAAGGTGCAGAATTTGGAATTCTGTGAGCATTGTGTGTTTGGGAAGCTACATCGCAGCAAGTTTCCCAAGAACGGTATCCACCGGACGAAGGGGATACTGGATTACCTCCACTCCGACTGTTGGGGTCCTTCACGAGTTGAATCCATTGGAGGCAGCAGGTATTTTCTGTCTATTATTGATGATTATTCGAGATTTACTTGGATTTTCATGATGAAGCAGAAAAGTGAGGCTTTCACGAAGTTCAAGCAGTGGAAGACATTGGTGGAGAATCAGACCGGGAAGAAGATCAAGAAGCTGCGAACGGACAATGGTCTGGAGTTCTGCAGTTCTGAGTTCAACGAATTCTGCAAGGATGAAGGGATTGCCCGTCATCGGACTGTTAGAGATACACCCCAGCAGAATGGCGTTGCAGAAAGGATGAACCAGACATTGTTGGAGAGAGCACGGTGCATGCTCTCTAATGCTGGACTAGAGAGAAGATTCTGGGCAGAAGCAGTGAACATGGCGTGCTTCCTGATCAACCGTGGACCTCACACAGGTATCGAGTGTAAGACTCCTTATGAAGTGTGGTATGGGAAGCCTGCTGATTACTCTTCACTGAAAGTGTTTGGGTGTCCTGTTTATTATCATGTGGATGAGGGTAAACTGAACCCAAGGGCAAAGAAGGGTGTATTTGTGGGTTACGGAGATGGAGTTAAGGGATTTCGAGTCTGGTCACCTTCTGAGCATCGAGTTATACTTAGTAGAAATGTGATATTTGATGAGAAGTCTATGTTTAACCCCATGTTGAAGGTTACTGTTGTTGAAGGTAGCAGGAATGTTGATAAACAGGTGGAGCTGCAAACTCTCAATGAGAGTGAGTTTGAGCACCAAGGTGGAGAAGATCAACATGATGAGGATGTCTCTGCAGAGCCAGAAATTTCAGAGTCCAGAGCACGAGCTCAACAGTCTATTGCTTCCGGTAGACCGAAGAGAGCGACTGCAGGAGTACCTCCACAGAGGTATGGCTTCGAGGACATGGTGGCGTATTCATTTCAGGTTGCTGAAGAAGTGGATGCAGGAGAGCCACAGTCCTATAGAGAAGCAGTTTCGGGTGGTGAAGCTGATCAGTGGCTTGCCGCAATGGGAGATGAGATGGAATCCCATGACAGAAATCAGACTTGGGAGCTAGTCAAACGACCACAGGGAAGGAAGATTGTTACAAACAAGTGGATCTACAAGAAGAAGGAAGGAATCACTTCCAAAGAGGGCATGAAATTTAAAGCTCGGGTGGTTGCACGAGGCTTCTCGCAGAGGGAAGGAGTTGACTACAATGAGATTTTCTCACCAGTGGTCAGACATACTTCGATCAGAGTGCTACTAGCAATAGTGGCACATTATGACTTGGAGCTCGAGCAGCTAGACGTGAAGACAGCTTTCCTACATGGAGAGTTGGAGGAAGAAATTTACATGACTCAGCCAGAAGGATTCGAGGTTCCGGGAAAAGAAGACTATGTTTGTAAGCTGAAGAAGTCCTTGTATGGACTTAAGCAATCTCCGAGGCAGTGGTACAAGAGATTTGACAGTTACATGCTTGAGCTGGGCTACAACAGAAGTCCATATGATTGTTGTGTATATCACAGCAAGGCAGATGATGGTTCGATGATATATCTAGTTCTGTATGTGGATGATATGCTCATAGCTGCGAGGTCAAAGTCTGATATCCAGAAGTTAAAGGGGCTTCTCAGTGCTGAGTTTGAGATGAAGGATTTGGGAGCTGCTCAGAAGATCTTGGGTATGGAGATTTACAGGGACAGATCGAAGAAGAAGCTTTTCTTGTCACAGAAGAGCTACATCCAGAAGATACTGTCGAGGTTTGGCATGTCTTTAGCAAAGCCCTTAAATACTCCTAGTGCTTCAAATGTTCATCTATCCTCGGC